AAGTGGATAGATATCAATGAAACCAGGGGAATATGTAATGTGGTAAGCTTTTCTGGAATAACTTAGACACTTAAAACTGAATCTCTAATTTAAAAAATTTACAATGGAAAAGAGCACTAAACAAATATATGTCGTGTTCGGATATGGAATTCATGGGAATTTTGAATCTCTCTGTTTCATATCAATTACTAAGAACAATATTTAAATGTGAAAATTAGACTTAACCTGAAATGTATTATAACCTGAGCACCTATAAATTTCAGACAATTTACTATAAACCTTTACGTATCTTTTAATAATCTATATTTATAAATTAAATAAATAAAGAGTATAGTTCGAAAATTTATGGCAATATTGCCTGAAATTCAAGTAGGTAAGGATACTTTAGCTGGAACTGTATCACCCTTAATAAATTATTAATAAGGACCTTCCGAGTCCCTATGATTTCCCCATTATGTACAATATGTATAAGTATATAAAGAAGAAGAAAAGGTTATAGGGGAAAGATATGGGCATAACATATTAAAATACTATTAAAAATTTTGATTTGAAACCCTTGCTGGTAAAATTCTATGAATAATTCTTTTTTTCCACATAAATTCAAAAAATACACAAAAAATTGTCTGAAATTTGTAGAGTAGTTAGGGAAGACCAGGAAAGATTGGAACACATTTCATTCATACTTGAATAAGTTACATACTATTTGAACCATTCTGGACCAATAAAACATATTCTCAATCCCCAAAGTATAAGATATATAAAATAGTAAATACATAAAAAAAAATTAATTTAAAAAATTTCTTTGGTAACCAACTAGATTTATTTTTTGTTATTTTTGGTAAGCATACCTTCGTAAAAATACAAAGAATACATATTTTTTTAAATTTTTTACTAGCCAATAATGTTACGATTTTCATCTTTATGATGATAGTTTAGAAATAAATTCAAGTTTCCTCTGTTTATTACCTGCCTCGAAGGTTTATAGATTAGTTTCTATTTTATTTTTATAATAACTTATATCAGTGCCTTATTTATAAAAACATAAATATATACCACTAATATTAATAACATAAATTTTCATAATTTTAGGACCTTTCTATATTATAATTTAAAACAAAAAATAGGGAATGTTGTGAATAACAGTCCATATTTAAAAATTAAAAGCAACAGAACAAAATTAAAAATCACAACGTGCAGCTCAATTCATTACCTTTATTAATATATATAAAAAAGTATAGATTTATACATATATAATTTTTAAGATCTATGATTATTTACTTTAAATATGACAAATTTTACAATTCCGATTGATTTTGGCTACGGTATAACGCAAGCTTCTAAATTTAATTGTTCTTTACCATTTAATTCCAAAGGACACTAATTTTTACATTGCAGATATTCCAAAGGCCCCTGCTTGCGGCATACAAACATAAATAATTTAATCTCAAACACTCTTAAAGGGCCAGTATTCCAAATACCCTAGAGTCCAATCAGTTGTGCCCAAACACCAACAGAAGATCCGACGGTATCAGCCGAAAATCTTGGTCTTCTGGTTTTCCAGTAGCTTGGGATTACACAAGCATCGATTTTAGGCGCAATCTAACAGAAATATCTCAGCAATTAGTTCGGTAAAAATCTTGAAAATAAACAAATATTCAGACATCGCTCCTAACTTTTATCCCATTGTCTCTAATACTCTTGATGTTTTTGTTGAGAAATTTCTTAAATTTATCACATAATTAGGGAGAAAATTAAGATAAGTGGTGATCATAATGTAGCCTTCTATTTCAAACAAGCCATGGTTATTCAGGCGATCTCTTTTTTTAATTAATTTTTTTTATTCATTTGGTTGTTTTCTTTAAAAAAAATTATAAACATGATATAATCATTAATTGTTTTTAAAATGACCTTTGTTTTAAATTTATTTTTAATAATAAAGTCAATGAACAGCAAAATATTCTTTTTTTATAATTTAATTAAACAATTTTGACATGAATTGATTATTTTTAATTGTAAATAAAGAAATGATTCAAATTACATATTTGGAATAATCCCAATTTGGACGCAATGTATAATTAAATTATCCTTACCTCTGCGTATTTTTCATATTGTTTATAACACATAAGCTTAATGTGCCTTTTTTGCTCAATAATTTCTTTTTATAAGGAGTAGATTTTAATATTTTAGAAATTTTTTGCAGCTTCATTCGAGCAAGCATTCTAATCTTTTTACCCATAGCAACTCTACCCCAAAATATATATATTATATTATTTTTAATAACCTGATTTACTTCCAATAAATTTTACTTTATAGTTAAGATTTTAAGGAACATTTGTAATTTTTTTAATTATTAGGAATATATTTTGCTAATGGCAAAAAATACTAGAAGATGATTTTTATAATTTTTAAATTAAAAACGGGTTTTGGGTAAACTATATCAAACTAGGAACATTAAAAAAAAGATAATCATAGGTAAGAAATTACATATAAAAATATACACATTCACACAAAGCACAGGGGCTTAAACTCATGGGTTAAGATATTCATATTAACATTAATACCTTGTCAGCCACTTTCCCCAGGTCTCCCCTAATGTTTGTTAAGTTCATTCTACCATCACGTGAAATAAAAGATGATTTAAATTTTTTTAACCAAACCTTCCAAGCTTATCACAAAAAAATCCGGACAAAAGACCACCAAATAACCCCCCCAAATTCGCGATAGCCACAGTTAATGCCCAATATCCTGTTATTTGAGATGGCGTCATATACTTGTTGTACCTTTTATAGTAAGTTTGGTTGTACCAATTTGTGACTATCTTTATACATACATAACAAAGAGAAATAATTGCATTTTTTTTGAATTTATATCAATAAGATTTATTTAAAATAATTGTTTAATAAAAAAAATACTTTTTGGGGTGCGTTCACTACCCCGATTGCCCAACCATATTGGAAAGAGCTTAGGGTGATTACAACAGCCATAATCGCTAGCATAAATGTTACACCCTTATTTAAATATTTTTTATAAATATTTATGCTTAGTATTAATATGCAAACAGAATGTCCAGATGTTTTTTTACCAGTCTATCAATCTAACCTAAAAGAGCACGATTTTTTTTTATTAAAAAATTAACTATAATCCCCCCCCCCTTTTTTTATAAGTCAAAATAATATTTCAAACCCAAATATTAAAAATGCTTGCAAGAAAGGAGATGCGATAAGTATTTTTTTAATAAAAAAATTTACTATGATCCCCCCCCCCTTTTTATAAGTCAAAATAATATTTCAAAACCAAATATTAAAAATGCTTGCAAGAAAAGAGATGCAATAGGTATTTTTTTATTAAATTTACCTTTTTTTTAACATGGAGATGTGTATTTTCGTCCAATTGCTGCGGCGTAGTGTTCATTAAATTATTAAGCACCGCTTTGGGAATAGATTTTCTTGATGATCTTTGTCTTAAGAATTGGGAATTTATACTATCAGGTTCCTGATCGGTAAAGTTACTAACATTAATATTTTCTAGGGACGGATTCAAATTAACTTCATGTTCTGGGATATCTTTAAGAGTGGCTAGGGACAGTGTGACTCTTTTTTTCATTTTATCGGTGCCAAATCGATCGGATATACTTTTAAGCGAGGAGGGCTTCCTAGGTGATACATCTATTGTGGCTAGTCTTGGCCTATTGTATTTAGAAATTTTGCGTGTGCTAATGTTTTTATTATTATCATGGTTATCGTCTAGAAAGTGTGGAACGTCTGTTGCGTTCATCATTTTTTTAAGGTTTTTTTAGGAAGTAACTGAACTTATTTTTATCTTGTGGATTATATTAAAACATTTAAAACCTTTCAATTATAGCTATACGTTTTTAATATATAAATACAACTATTCCTTTATTCATAAAAAAAATGATTTAAAATATCCTAAACTCCCCATACCATTCTTTTGTTTGAAAATCAATTTTATTATTTTTTAGGTAAAGATAAAATACAATTATAAAAATATTGGCAAATTCATCATAAAAATTAGTTGTAAGTTGTAACATAATAATAATTAAATAAATATTTACTATTTATATCAATATCTAAACGTTCTCATTCAATTTTTATAGTTTTTCCCGATCCGTTTTTCATATTTATTTTAATAAAATATGCTATCAACCCTTGAAAACTCTTCAAATTTTATGATAAATTAAAACACAGTTGATTAAAATAATAATTTGCTATTCTTAAATAAATAAATAAAAATATTTTATTGAAAAATAGCCCTAAGACTAAGATTCAAAAAATAAAAATATTTGATAATAAAGTTTTAAAAAGCTATAAGCAAGGTTTAAAGGTTATATATAGTGCATTTATAAAAAAAATTTGGATTTTAGTCATAATTACAATATAATTTGTAAATCGACATAAGAAAAAACAAATTAGTAAATCTCTTCCTATATAACTTATCCATATTTATGATATAATTTACATTATAAATGAAAAACTATTTTTTGTTGTTAAATATAGTTTATGGACAAAGATGATATCCAGGAACACGAAGTGGTAAATGATAATTATAAGGACTTTAAACAAAAAAGATTAAGTAACGTGGCCAGTGATGGCGATATAATTAAGAAAAAAACTAGTTTTTTGAGGAAACAAGATTCGGCTCTCGCTCTTCCTGCTTTAAGCAAAATGGAGAATTTGGAAGAAAAAAACGAATACATTAAAAACATAATCCGGGAAGGATCTTTAGATGTATCTATGAGCCGAAAAAGGAAAATATCTTATAAACCGGCGGTTCCTACCTATATCCTCAATAACATCATGGATACCAATCCTCAGGAATTAGACGAAGACACCGAATTACACGTTAAAAAAAAGGTATGTTCATCTTATTTATTTTTACAAGTATTGAGCATTTAATTTCATATTAAATATATTATATAAAAAAAAGTTGTACCTAAATATAATCTTATTCGTTTAAAATGTAAAAACTAGGGTGTAACCGCCATGCTTTTATTGACTGTTGTGGCCATATCACTAAGTTCTTTTCAATATGGATGGGCTATCGGGGTTGTTAACGCTCCACAAAAAGTTTAATTATCAATAATTAACAAAATTTAGTTAATAAATAAAAAGATAGTAATGGCCTGGTATAACCAAACGCATTATGAAAGACACCAAACACCCATGAAGCCTTCACAAATTACAGTGCTCTGGGCTATAACTGTTTCAATATATAATGTCAGCGGTTTGTTTGGAGGATTGACATCTGGTTACTTTTGTGATAAATTTGGGCGGTAATATAATCTTTTAAGTTTGTTTATTCTTATTCACTAGCAAAAAGACACTTCTCATCAATAACTCGATCACATTTTTGGCCGCCATTTTGTTAATAACGGCTAAGACTGCATCCTCGTTTGAAATGGTTATTATATCTAGACTCTTAATAGGATTTAATTGTGGTTTTAATTATTTATTAGAAATTATAATGTAAATAATATGAAACTAGGAAAATAATTTCCCCGAAAAAAATCCCCATAAGATTACTCCCCGAAAAAAAATCCCTTGGAAAATAATTCCTCGGAAAAAAATTCTCACAGAAAATAATTCCACGGGAGAAATTTCCCCGGAAAATGATTACCCCCCTTTTTTTTTGATCCTATAAAATATTAAATTATTTTTAGAAAATTACAAAATGGAAAAAAACTCAAAATAAAATATTAAAAATTTTTGAGAAGATTAACAAAATAAAAGAAATTCTTGTAAAATTTTTTCAAATAAAAATTTCCTAAATTGTTAAACAAAATTATAAATAATAACTAATGAATATTAAACCTAACCTAATTTTTAAATTATTATTAATTAACCCTAACCAATATAAGATATAATGTTATGGCCTTATTCCGAACCCAGGTTTGGTGATAGTGAAAATTAAACAAAACAATATTTATAAAATAAACGAATTGGATACCTAGTCTCTATGATATTAAGCAAAATATTATTATAAACTAAGTAATGATAATGGCCAGCTAGATTTTTTATTTTGGCCCGGATTTATAAATTCTTACCATTTTTGACCCGGATTTGCACTACTTTAATTAAATCAAAATGTTTTTTAAATTCACTCTAAGATTTGAGGATTTAAATAATAAAACTTAAAATCTAGTTCACCTTTACACAGTTTCATCAACTTTTAGTTATTTATTGAAAATCAAATTTTTATTTTAAAATATTTATTTTTGCACAAATTAGTAATCATTTCCATGAAGTTTTTAGAAATACATTAAAATTTAAATCAGTAGGAGCTAAGAGGCTTTTCGCAATTGCCTTCAAAAATATTTGGCCAATTTTTCATTTGGTGTAATTTTGTTATGCACAATATGAAGTCTTTTTCTGATAATTTTTAGAATGTAAAATATATTGTGTTCTATGATACAAATTGGATGTTTGTCATTAGTTGGCAAAAATAATAGCATGACTTTTACCAACTCTTAATAGCGCCCTTTTTTGTTTTTAATGCTAATGAAGGGCTATTAAATGATAAATTCTGTGACGAAATAGGAAATTTCCAATTCAACCTGGTTTATATTTGATAAAAATTATTTTACTGAAGTATTTAATGCATACTATAAGAATTTAACTGGCTGAATACAAAATCAATATAAAACTTGCTAAATTATATTTTTTACTGTCCAATTTAAATTAAATAACTGCCGAAAGTAATGAAAAATACTGACCATTTTAATCAATAAACATCTATTTCAGAGGTGATTATCAGCAATGACAATGAGTCTTATATTTAAAATCTTATAATTATTATTTTGCTTAATTTTTTTAAAAATTTACAGAAAAGAAATAATTAATTAAAATGATATATGAAACAATGTTTTCACTTTTTTTTCAATTTTAAATTGTAAAACCTCTTCCATAATTTTCATCTATTTCTATAAAAATCTATCATGTTTTCTTTCCAAGATGTCACAAATCTATACTTTTTATGCTATCTACTAAATTATAAAGTATCAAAGCTACCAACCGATTTATCAACTCTCATATTTTATTGCCCTATATGTCTTAGAATTAAAATAGAAATAATACTCAAAAAAAAATCCTAAAACGCGAGAATAAATACTCAACATTCAGAAAATACTGAATATAATTTTTTAGAAATATTTTCGTTATTTTAGCTGAAGGGTCATTTTTGATAATTTAAAAAAAAATATTCGAGGAATTTTTTTCCTATTTTTTTCGGGGATTTACATTCCCCTAAATTTAATTTAAAATCTAAAAGGGCAAATTTTTTTCTGGAAATAATTTTTTATGGGAATTTTTTTCCAAGTAATTATTTTACGAGGATTTTTTTTCCGGGGAATTATTTTCCGAGGAATTATCTTCAAGGGGATATTTTTCCCTGGGATTTTTTTTCTGGGGAATTATTTTCCAGGGGATTATTTCTGGGAAATTATTTTCGGGGATTTTTTTTCCGGTTTTTTTTCCGAGGAATTATTTTCTGCTTGCCAAATAACATCATTTGAAAAATAAAATAATTAGGCATAACATCTAGTGCGGTGTCGATATATTTAGCAGAAATTTCTCCAGTAAATATCAGGGGTGCCATGTGTTCTGCACACCAGGTTTCACTCAGTTTCGGAATTCTATTATCCCAGATCATAGGTTTACCGCATGCATTGGGAACTGATCATGGGTGGCCTACACTATTTGGTTTAAATAATTATCCCATGCATTACACATTTTTAAATAATAATCATCATTTAGCTTTATCCGTGATCCCAGCAATTATGCAATTAATAATATTGCCATTGTTGCCAGAAAGTCCTAGATATCTATTGATTTATCGAGGGAAAGAAAAAGATGCTAAAAAAGGTATGTATCTATTATTACTAGTGCTGTAAAGTAAAGTCATAAAAGTAACATCGTTACTAACAGCGTTATCTCTTTTGAAGGAAAGAAACGCCATTCGTTACCTTCTTCTAGAGGTAACGAGCAACGGTAACGCCTTTCTTTTTTTTGAATAACGCAAAACGTTACTCGTTACTTAAAATTTTTTCTTAAAAAAAATGGGAAAAATAAATTATTTATATTTATTTTTAAAATTTTATAAATAATTTAGCCGACATTTTCAGAGCAACATAAAATTCTTTTTATTTTATTTTCTTTGTTAAAGTTTCAGTCAAGATTGTTAATCTAATTAATAATGAATCAATCAATTGTTAATTTATATTATTATTCTCTAATATTATAATTAAAAAAAATATTATGTTAATCGTAGCAGATGAAGATGATTTGACCAGCCCTGGCCCCAACATGAAACATTTTTTAGGCCAAGAAAAAAATTAAGAGTACAAATTCTGCATTTTGTAAAATTGTTTCCCAAATCAAATATTTCCTCAATTGTGGAATAAACATGAATCGACACTGTGCAGCCATTTTTAACAAAAAAATGGAAAAATATCTGAAACAAGATGGAACTCTTTTTTAGAACTCCGTGAAATTAATAGTCTTATTAAGGAATAACCCATTTGACGAATTGTAATATATCCAAATTGCAGAGATTTTCAGATAATGACAAGTCATTCATATATATAGTACCGTTAGTGTTAATTAAAAAAATATGATATGTATATATATGATTTTATATGTTATGGAACCTGTTGTTACTGCTCTTTTGATAATAGAGCATTTGGGATATATCACTCCCACGATAATTATTTTAATATTAAAACTTAAAAAAATTGCTAAAATAGTTTCAAGTTTTGTAAGCCACATATTAATGATATCCTGCAAGACATAGGTAAAAGATATACCGTTGAAATATCGTTTATAATTTATATTTTGATTACATTTGTTTTCAATAAATTCGAACACATCTGTCAGCAATAATTCACCCGCTATTTAAATTAGATTAGCCCTATAAATATGTCAACGAAGGTAGAAAGCTAAATTATTTCCAGTTTGAGAAAATATAGTAACAAAGAAAAAGCAGACTTTATTCCTTTAAAAACAACACACATACCATATTATTTTCTGATAAAGATAAAAAAAAATTTGATAAGGATCTGAATGAAGATTCTTTGAAGGTAATCTATTAAGCTTCTTTCAAAATAATGATTATTCTTTAATTTTTATATATTACACCAATTATAATTATATAACTCTCTCAACCTCTGCGCCAGTTAAACCTGTGTTAAGCAGGGTAAAAGATGTGTTGAGCACTCTCTTGTTTATCTGATCAAAATTTTGAAAATGAATTGTTGTTACAATTAAATAATAAATTATTATAAAATATCTTTATTATTTTTGTATAATTTTATTTATATTATATATAGAAAAAATTTTATTATAAAAAGATTATGATAATTATACACTACAGGCGCGTAACCAATGGGGGGAAAGGGGGAAATTTCCCCCCCCCCATCGCAAATTTGACTATTTTCATAAATATCATTTTAAGCTAATAAATTTTACCCCCACCCCCAGATTCCCTCCCCCCCCCACCAATCAAAATTTTACAAATATTTGAATATCAATTTTCCAACATATAATTCAAAAATATTAATAAAATGGAAAAATATTTAGTCAAAGAGATTAAAATCAAACGATAATTTATAAATAAGGCTGAGCATGAAAAAAAGTAATGTGTCGTTAGCAGCGATATCATTATTGAATTCAATTGATCAATCAGAGTTTATCATTGCTGCTAGTTGCATCAATAAATTATTTTTAGCTCACTACTTTGTAGAAATTTACAAAAACCAAATTTAGATTTGGTTCAAGTTATTGATTTGGCGGAACATTGGAAAATATACATGAACAGGTAGATACAATAAGAATGAATGTAGATAAATATTTTCATAATATTTATCTAGACGTTGAATCGAAGGCTAAATTTTATGATATAATACTAATTAAACCTCGTCTAGCACCTAGGCCATTATTGAGATGAAAATAAATATTGGCTCAACTGAAGAATATTATAAAATATCCATTTTCATCCCATTCTTAGATACCTTTTTATAGCAAATAAAAGTACGGGTTTTAGATAAAAAACAAGTCTTTAGCAATCTTCAAGTTTTATTACCCAAAGATCCTTCTTCATTTTCTAATGCCACTATTGGTAAAATTAAATATTTAGAAAAATTTTATTCCTATGAGATTGATAATGAAATAAATTTAATCAGTGAATTCGAATTGTGGTATAAATATTTATACGTTTAGCTATTTTACCTGAGCATGCTATTGATGCGCTCAATCGGTGTAAAGAAACCTTGGCTCAATTTCCTAATATTTCGAAGTTGTTTTATATTCTTGCATGTTTGCCTATTACAACATGTACGAATGAAAGGACTTTTTCCAACTTGAGAAGGTTGAAAACATATTTACGAAGTACTGAATCTCGGCTAAATGGGTTAGCAGAGATTTGGTTCCAAAGACAAACGAAATAATTAAAAATCTTGTATTTGATAAGAAGTTAAAAAAAACTTGTTAATTTAATTATTTTCTAGTCAATATTTTTAACTACTATTAATATTTTCAATAAAAAAAATTATATTCTACTTATATTGTATGAGAATTTAAGCTGAGGCTAGTTTTTAAAGCAAATTTAAAAAAAAAATGACATTACACTTTATTTCAACTTTACACATAAATAAACCTTTACATTTAAAAAAACTTTATTAAATATAATATACCTAACTTGAAATAATAAAAAAGAGGCTTGTAATATCCTATCCATAAGCACGAATTAGTAAATAATAGTTAAAAATAGAAATATAATTATAGCTAAATAAGACCCGGCCGAAGGCCGGGGAAAGCTGGCCGAAGGCCAGGTAAAAGGGGTTTGGGGGCGAAGCCCCCAAAAAATTTCCCCCCCCCCCTATAAGAAAATCCTGGATACGCCACTGATACACTATAAAAAAAACTAACCGTTATTGTGAAAATTATATACTATAAAAAACTCTACCTAGTACAACGCCATTTTATAACTCTAACAATTAACCAACAGAACTCTAAAACTAAAATTAATAAATTTTCAACTCCAAATTTTATTGATAAAATATATTTAAAAAACAAAAAGTCATAAAAGTCATGATAATGATAAAATCTAATCCCTTTTATACTTTTTTGGGATAAAAAGATCACGAGTTCCACACATGATATATAAAATCAGGCGACTATTTATAAATTTGATAAATATTAAACAAAATAATTTTATATAATAATATGACAGGCCCTCCATAAATGAGCTCATTCGACCCCCATATTGTTGGCTCCTTTGTGACTTTAGAATATGCATACTTTAGAAATCTAATTCATCATAGGTTCTTTCAATCGTGTCAAATATTCAGCTTTATATTGAGTCGATTACTAATTATCATTAATTCTAAATTATTTTATTTTAACCATCATATACGATTCAAAATTTTCTAGAACATTTATTTTTCCTTAACGTAACCGATTCGATTCCTTATTCTGAATAATATAGAATTCCATAATATTTCACAAGAACCCCATGAATTTATCTTTTCCCATATCTTTGATAATATAGTGGTTTCCTTTTCCCAATCCCAATAGTTTCGCTGAAGAATTGGCTGCATAGTTTATGATATCATATAAGTTATTTTCAACCAACTTTAATGATTTGCCTCCGTGATCTTCAACGAGTTAGAACGAATATTGTTATTTGTACCAAACGTTAGTGATTCTCCGTAGTACCCGAGTTTGAACGAATTTTAGCAATTTGCACCCAACGTTAACGATTTGTCTCCGTAGTCTTTATTGAGTTTGAACAAATATTTCACCAATTTTTTTTTTGCGAGTTGATAATCTATGACCATTGGCACATTCTTGATTTATTTATTTATTATTTTCAAAAATACCTCTTCTACTTTTTCTTGGTAATACAAAATAATTCTTCACATATGATCGTCGATCTTCATCCCTTCACTCTATTTGATTCGATCAACTCGTTCACTTTCCTTTTTACTTCACCGTGTTACCGTCTAATAATTCGTTGATATATTAAAAAATATTCAAGCACTTTACACATATTTTAATGTCAAAATTTCCTATATTAATACTATTAACATTTTTACCGAAATTTTAAACACCATTTTTGTATTCTTCCTCTTTTTAAATTCATTCCAATATATTGAACTTTTACACAAATTTCGAACAACTCTTTTGTATCTCTCCCTTTAAAATTCATTTCAATATATTAAACTTTTACGGAAATTTTAAACGTCTCCTTTGTATCTCTCCTTTTAAAATTCAACGCACATACACATATTTCAGTCCAATCTCCCGATTCCCCAATGAGTTCCCCGAATATTTCCCAATGAGTCCCCCCTCCCCGAATACTTCCCAAGAGTTCCCCAAATACTCCCCAATGAGTCCCCCCGAATACTCCCCAATCCGCTTTTTTTTAAAAAAATTATTTTTATCCAACCCACTGTTATATTCTACTCAATTAACCAAAAATACGTTCCAAATTAATTTTTTTTTCTTTCACCAAAATTAATTTTTTTTATCAACCCAATCTTCTCTATATTCCATCATGTTTTTATTCCTTCATATTTTTATTCCAAATTTAAGGTAAAAAAATATTCAATATCTTTCTCCTTTAAAAATTTTTTTTAGCATCTTCCTCTATCTTAATTATATTCTTTGTAAATCATCACTCTTTTTAAGAAACCCCTTTTATAAAGAAACATTTTCCTCACATAATATTTATTACCAATCTTAATTTCGTGAATATTTTTCCGATTTGGAGCCAACTCATTTTTTAAAATTATTTTATCCTTCGACTTTTTATTTTAACCCCTTAGTATTCCGTATCAGGTCAATTCAGCGAAACTTTTATCGCG